CACTGTGGTTACATCACGCAAGAGTAACTGACACCACACCGCACTGTGGTTATGTCGCGCATCGCTAACACTACACTGTGGTATATCACGCATGTAAAAGTAACACCATGCTTCATATGTCTACATCACACGACATTCACACTGGGGTTACATCACGCAAAACTAATAAAAGTGCGCAACACTGTTGCATCGGAAAATGCAGAGCAAATTTTGCTGGTATTGCCACTCCGCGTGCAACATAATATCATAGGTGCGTTAAGTAGATACTCTTTACTCAATAATATTTTATTATACACAACAGTGTAACGTGAATAGTTGCGCGATTTTGTTGCCCTAGTGCCGCACCTTAAGACAGCACTGCGATTTGATGAACCAATACCAAGAGTTTATTCAAACAACAGTTGATAGACAAATATTGAGCAGAAATGGTATGGTTTGTTTCTGATATTTCTAGATAGCGGAAGCAAGCTACGTGTGACTCTGCATTTTAATAAAGTCATAATGAATGATGATTCAAGAAATGGTGGTTATGAATGCCAAGGACACACAGGAGGTAGTCAACATGAATATGGATTCACTGTCACTGTTATTGAGAGTAAGTACTTCTCAATTCTCATCGAATCACAACCTGGCAAGAACCAAATCATGACGGATCGTTACATTTCTACCCACAGAAAGTGAGTTTCCTGAAGTTCTCGCCTCTGGTAATGTAACAGCAAAGTTTGGGGAGCGAATTCAACTCAGCTGTAATGTCACGGTTACTAACCAAGAAGCGTTAATGACAACCATCGGCAAGTTTACCTGGGCAAAAGACGGAAGGGTTGTAATCGCAAGTTATTGTCCCCATTTCTCATCAATTAAACCTTTGGTTTTGAACGTAAGCCTAGCTGATGTKGGTGGTACATATTCTTGTTAGTTGGAGTACCTTCTGAGAGGAATTAGAAAGAGAAACATCACGAAAACTATTATCGTAAAAGGTCAGTTCAATTACTCATATGGGTACTGATACATTGCTGTAGAAAACATCGGTAAAAAAAAAACGTAAAACAACATGATCGTTACTAGAATTATTTCTTTAGTTCAGCCTAGATTTTTCCCTGAAAAGAAAGAAGAAAAGAATATGAAGCGGCTTGTGTGCACTGCTCAGGGAAACCCACTGGTGACCGAATGGAAAAGAAAAAGCCTGCTCAACGATGACATCT